CCTTCGCGCTGCTGCTGCTTGGAACGACTGACTAGACGGACAGCGCATCGATCACCACCTTGCCGCGCCATTCTCCATGGCGCGTGTGGGGTATGGCCCCGCTACCCATAAGGCAATACATGGGCCACATCATCAGAGGTGGCCCAGCCCATAAGATCAAGGCGTGCACAGTACTGGTCGACGTGCACCGCAAGATACTGTATAGTACCAAATAGAATACTTTTCTTGTAACCCTACCCCTCTAGAGTATATAAGGAGAGGCAGGGGTCCCCTAGTGGACATCGACATAGATCTCATATTCAATACAATACATCAAAGACACATGACGTAGGGTATTACGTCGATCAGATGGTCCGAACATGTCTAAATTGCTGTCTCTGCGCCTTGTGTCATCATCTGGTTCCTGATTACGCGCACCTCCAACGACAAATCTACCATCGTGGGATACCCCTCGGAGGACTACCGGGCATCTTTTGTCGACAGTTGGCGCCCACCGTGGGGCTCGTGCGCGCTGATCCCTGGCGAACCAGATGGCGTAACTCAAGATCAACATCCTTCGCGGCAACTCGGCTAATCACGTTGACATCCTTTGACAACCACGGCGCACGTTTCGTATGTGGATTGACACCTCCAAGCTCCGACTATGTCCGTCCTACTCCAACACGGGATCAACTCCATTCTAGCCGTCAAGCGAGCCGCTAAGCGAGCTGCCCGCGTTGCCGACTAGATAACACCATACGCCGCCGACCAGACATTTTGTCTAAAACTAAGTCACCCTTTAATATTCTTCTAAATATTCTCCAATATTCGTATATCGCCATAATATTTCTCCGAGCTGTTTTCTCTATGTTTGCTCTCCAAACAATTTTCTTTCATATATACCATCTTAAGGATGACATACAACTAAGTCTAAGGCAAATCCTCAAACAGTCATGTTGACACTCGGATGTCCCTAGAGACGGCCCTATCTCGGCTCCTCTCTACACGTGCACGAGCGTCTGCCCTCTGCGTTATGGGTGGTCGGCAGTGGCTTCTTAGCGATGCTTTGTTCTTCCTACACGCACACGGGCTCCGCGTTATGGTTAACAGGCTAGATAGGGCTAGAGACTCAGCTACACACTAACTGGTCGAGCGGTTTATGTTAAATATAAATATATCTTCACACCAATTGATGGCCGAGCTGCATACGCTATTTTATCACCATTGCTGATTCTTCTTTGGAGTTCATATATTTTTATATCATGTACTACCCATTCTATATATTTGTATTGCAGGATCATCGTCTAGGTGATCGAACCACCTGGTGCTCGGACTTCTCCACCGATCAACTGGTCGGACCATTAGGTTCATGGATTTCATCGCTGACCAGTAGATCGGACTGTTCGCCGGTCGCTTCTACTCAATACTCACTTCGTCGCCGACCAGTTGACCGGACTGTTCATCGCTCGCGCTTCAATCGCCATCTACGCCGAGGACTCCTCGCTGCTCGGATATCGCCAGCTACGCCGAAGACTCTTTCCTGCTCGGACATCGCCAGCTGCGCCGGAGACTCCTCAGTGCTCGGACATCGCCAGCTATGCTGGGGACTCCTCGGTGCTCGGATTCTTCATGCAAGCGTCGCCAGCTAACCTAGGGACTCCTCGGTGCTCGGACATCGCCAGCCACGTCGGGGACTCCTCGGTGCTCGGACATCGCCAGCTGCGCCGGGGACTCCTCGGTGCTCGGACATCGCCAGCTATGCCGGGGACTCCTCGGTGCTCGGACGTCGCCAGCTGTGCCGGAGACTCCTCGGTGCTCGGACATCACTAGCTCCGCCGAGGACTCCTCGGTGTTCACACATCGCCAGCTATATCAGGGACTCCTCGGTGCTCGAACATCGCCAGCTACGCCGAGGACTCCTCGGTGCTCGAATTCTTCGTGCAAGCGTCGCCAGCTAACCTGGGGACTCCCTTGGTGATCAAATCTTGCTACGTCTCATCGATGTGCTATCAAGCTGCTCCATACTGTTCGGATCAGGGTGCTGATCTTAGGCAACATGTCTAGGGTCTTGATAGTGCATGTCAGATGGCATCGACAAGCTTTTAGACTTCTTTTTCTTTGACCCTGCTATAAGATTCATTATTTATCTTCCAGCAGGCTCTGGGACTAAGTGTGCACACTTCACCTTGGGCACACTTCACCTTGCGGTGAATGTGCGCTTTTCAATTCAGGGCTCTGCCCGTGGACTGGTTGCCTGTTCGGCCGGTCTTCTGTCTTTCTTCTACTTTCTGACCCTGACACCACGTGACTACGTCACCTACTGTCAGGCTCGGGGACTAGCTGTGGGGGTATGGCCCCCGGTATCCACAAGACAAGACATGGGTCGCATCATCAAAGGTGGCCCAGCCCACAAGATCAAGGCGTGCACGGTACTGGTCGATGTGCATCGCAAGATATTATATAGTACCAAATAGGATATTTTTCTTATAACCCTACCCCTCTAGAGTATATAAGTAGAGGCAGGGGTCCCCTAGTGGACATCGACATAGATCTCATATTCAATACAATACACCAAATACACAGAGTGTAGAGTATTACGTCGATTAGACGGCCCGAACCTGTCTAAATCGCTGTCTCTGCGCCTTGTGTCACCATCCGGTTCCTGATTACGCACACCTCTACCGACAAATCTATTTTCGTGGGATACTCCTCGGAGGACTGCCGAGCATCTTTTGTCGACAGCGTGTCAGTGACGCGCCCAAATCCGTGGTGAGGCAGCCCCGGCCACGTCAGCGTTCAGCGGCCCTGGTCACTGTCACATCATCGCTCCTACCGTGCCCCATGCATGGCGCGGCAACTTGATTTCGCCGCACCATGCAAATAGGCGGGACCAAAAGTGTTAGATTTGAAAAAAAAATTAAACAATGTCAGATTTTAAAATAGTTTAAAAACAGTGTTAAAAATAAAAAAATTTCTCAAGGGGCACCTTTTACTCGTGTTCTCCACAAATGTTTTTAGGAAAAAGGGTGAAAAGAATGTGAGAAATTCACGTGAAACCATGTGAGCTTTGATTTATGCCTTTTTTCTTTATTACATGTAAAAAGGGAAAACCCCTTTTTTCATAAAGTTTGGCGTTGCTGGACGACGCGAACTAGCTAAAGAAAGCAAAGTGCAACTACACGATCTAAAATCTAAGTGCACGTGTCTGGCTGTAATTGGTCCAATTGAAAGGTCTCCATCTTACATTGATGTAACTACGGCTGTCTTTTCCATATGTATTATACAAGATCGGTATCGATCGTCCATCATCGTAGATAGATAATATAGCGGGCTTGCTGACGCCCGGACGAGGCGTCTAGACGCACGTGCCTGCGAATCATTTCTCACGCCGTTTCGCGCGTCCACACCTGGCCCACGTCACTCCAAACGCCACTAGCATCGAAAAAAGAAGGGATGGGTTCGTAGACGCCCAACTAGCGCCGAGAGGAGAGAAGACACCGAGGCGAGACAGCAGAAAACGAGGAGAGAGATACAACACCCGATCTACTTTTGAAACATTAAGATGCAACACTTGCAACATATGTCTGAAGACATATGAAACACTTAAAACATGCATATGAAACACTTGAAAAAAACACCTGAAAACCATTTGTAAAACATACGCAACATCCATATAAAAACTTGCAACATATGTGTGAAACATATGCAACATCCAAATAAACATACTTGCAACATACGTCTGAAAAAACAGATAAAAAATTAGGAACAGAAGCTTGCAATATACGTGTACAATTATTGCAACATATGTGATATCTCGATCTAGTTTTGCGACACCCGCGTAAAATATTATAACGTACCTCTGAAACCTCCGCGTGAAACACTTAGCAACAAAACACACGTCTTGTTGTCATAGACAACAAACTTTATAGATTTAATGAAAATCATATTTCATTTAAAAACAGTTTTGCTTTTTTTTAGAAAAAAAAACATACCAAGTTGTTTCGTAAATCACACACACACAAAAAGACACATACTATGGATTAGTTTTTCACTATTCCATATGAACTAAAAGTGATCCTTTACTTGTAGTTAAATGCGTTGCAAATTAACTTGTTAGCGGTGGGAAAAATCGCAATTGCCTGCATATAAGTACGTAATTGCTTCAAAATTCACGGCGGCAATTCAAACTCCAGACAAAGTTGCCTATCTAAGCTTATTAATATACTCCATTCATTTTAAGTTGTGAGTTGTTTTGACTTTTCTACGTATATAGTTTTTACTATACATCTAGTCATGCAATTCTATACCACCCCTGTTCCAAACTATAGGTCGTTTTGATTTTTGTAGGCACATAGTTTTTTCTATGCACCTAGATTTTATGATGTGTCTAGATAATATATAATAAAAGTTGTGTATTTAGAAATATCAAAATGACCTATAAATTGCAACGAATATGCACGTACTAATAATTCCCATTTCAACATTGTATAAAGTTGTATATAATATATCTAAAAAACCATAATTTACAATTTGAAATGATACATAAGCATGAGCAAAAATTGAAAAATGTGTCTCCAATAGTGCAAACAAATGTGCACGTACTAATAATTCCCATTTCAACGTTGGACCATGAACAGATCTGAAATATTGTGCCCATGTTCAAGTGTCTCCGTTCTCCTGTGGGAAAGTAAATCGTGGCCGTCCACGTGGACACACAGCACAGATGTCTCTCGACCAGTATAGGCTGTTCCTGTTCTTCGCTTTGGTAACAAATCCCTGAAAATTGATCGATAATATAAAATAAAATAATGTGCATCCCGTACATTCGCTTGGACCTGCCTGCTAAATGCTTTGCTAATGCTATCCATCCTTCCTCCGTCTATAAAGTGGCCGCCAGAATCCTCTTCTTCTACAATCGCAGCAGCCTCCTCTCCTCTCCTCCCTGCCTGGTTCTTGCTTGCAGTTCTTGAACCGAATCCACCGCCGGTGCGCTTAGCATTGGGACTAGGGGGCCGATCGACATGGCGGCCTTAGGGGCGAAGATGGAGCGGCTGTCGTCGATCGACGCGCAGCTGCGGATGCTGGTGCCGGGGAAGGTGTCGGAGGACGATAAGCTCATCGAATACGACGCGCTCCTCCTCGACCGCTTCCTCGACATCCTCCAGGACCTCCACGGCGACGACCTCAAGGAGATGGTACCTCTCTTGCTACTTTCTTGTCCCAACTATGCTCTTGTTGTTCTTTAGTTTTACTGGTTCGGGCTTGCGATGCAGCTTTCATCTTGGGTTGGATCCAAGTAATCTAGTTCTGTCCTGTGTCCTGTACCTCTTATTTTTATCTTTATTTAATCTTCCATATATTTTTTTACTTTTCGTGTTTTTTCCTGAGAAAAAAACAGTGAACAGGTATCAATATTTAGTTAAAAAAGGCATGAAATTAATGCCTTCTTTGTTCTTTGTTTTCTTTTCATACGATTCTTTTTACAGCACAGCTTGAGTAGTATTGGAGTGTGGTTGACTTCAGAGTCCACACTTCAGATTAAGTGATTAACACTTCAGGTTTAAGTTTAACTACAAGGTGGTCGATTTGCTGCTTAATTTGGTGTTGTCAACTATAGTATTTTACACTAAAATATACTCCTAAATCATAGTGGATGACCAGGTGCTGGATTGACGTTCCTAGTGTTCATCTTTTTTTTTTTGTTATTGCTCAAAGATTGGTTTCTTTTTTCAGTGGTAAACGAGACTGACCATCTCGATTTTCGATTGATTGGTCGGATATGGTTCGAATTTTGATCTCAATCATGACGGTAGAAACATGACTTCATATGTGGAAAATTCATCTGTAACAAGTGTGGATCTTTAGTTGTTATATAATCCTGGTCCATTAACTGACTTTGGACCGATTGATTGAAACAATGAAACCTGCATGTTCCACGTCATCTTTTGACTTCTTGACTTTTCCTTTTGGATGGCAACATATAGTTGACAAACAAACTGTATCTCCAGCAACTTAACTTTACAGCTGATTGCAGTTCATAACACGTGAACCCCTGTCATCTTTCTAGCACCTTCCCTGACAGAACTTGGACACCTAGAACGCGTGACAACTAATAGACAAACTATGAAAAATTTTGGATCAAAATAAAGTCTCCGTTGAAGTGGGCATATTAAGGCTAAGTTCTTGCATTATTCAGAAAAGTGTGACTTACCATATTAATTTTTTTTGACATGGCCAGTTGACAGCAATACTTTAGCATATGTAAATTTATTTGGAATTGATATGTGGATTGAGTATGGCAATAACAAAATCCAGAAACCGACATATCTTCTTTCTCTCTTTTTTAACCATGTATGGTCATTAATTGAGTCCTCTTGCTGATTAGGTTCAAGAATGCTATGAGGTAGCTGCTGAGTATGAAACAAAACATGACATGCAAAAGCTTGATGAACTCGGGAAGATGCTAACAAGCTTGGACCCTGGGGACTCTATTGTGATCGCCAAGTCTTTCTCGCACATGCTTAACTTGGCCAACTTGGCTGAGGAAGTCCAGATAGCATACAGGAGGAGAATCAAGCTCAAGAAGGGAGACTTTGCTGATGAGAACTCGGCAATCACGGAATCTGACATTGAGGAAACACTTAAGAGGCTTGTTGTTGACCTGAAGAAGTCACCTGCTGAGGTATTTGATTCCCTCAAGAGCCAGACTGTTGATCTGGTCTTGACTGCACATCCAACACAGTCTGTGAGGAGGTCACTGCTCCAGAAACACTCGAGGTTAGTTTGCCAAATGGTGCATTGTAGTTGACATGCACAACTTCGTTTTTAGCCTTTAATCTTGATCCCAACATTCTTATCAGGATACGCAACTGTTTGGTTCAACTCTACTCAAAAGATATCACTCCAGATGATAAGCAGGAACTTGATGAGGCTCTGCAGAGAGAGGTACTTATTTCAATCTAATGTTTATTACTGTCGACTCATGGAATTCTCTGAAGCTTGAGACCAAAGGGATTGGTTCTTAATTTGTTACCTGAACTCCTCCCTCTTTCTTTTTCAAGATCCAAGCTGCCTTTAGAACTGATGAGATCCGAAGAACGCAGCCCACTCCCCAAGATGAAATGCGTGCTGGTATGAGCTACTTCCATGAAACAATTTGGAAGGGTGTTCCAAAGTTCTTGCGCCGGGTTGATACTGCATTGAAGAACATTGGGATTAACGAGCGTGTTCCTTACAATGCACCTCTTATTCAGTTCTCTTCTTGGATGGGAGGAGATCGTGATGGTGACATCTCTACATATTTGTCTTGTCTTCTCATGGCATTATTAAATATGGAGTATTTGCAGCACCTATTATTATGTTTGTTGCTAGTGGTTGGGAAGATGACTATTCATTGTCCCTATGTCTGCAGTCTGCACCTCTGTCCTTTGTATTCTAAAGCAATGTTTCTACAAATGCAGGAAATCCAAGAGTGACACCAGAGGTTACCAGGGATGTCTGCTTGCTTGCCAGGATGATGGCATCAAACTTGTACTGCTCTCAGATTGAGGATCTCATGTTTGAGGTTGCTGTTACTTCCATAATCAGAGTATAGTATAACATCATTTCTATCAGATGATTGAACTTGATAACTTGAAATGCTTGCAGTTATCTATGTGGCGATGCAGTGATGAGCTGCGCATGCGAGCTGATGAGCTGCATCACTCCACTAAGAAGGATGCCAAGCATTACATAGGTAGCTACCAGTGACATCATTGGGTCTTCTTAACGATGGCCTGTTGTTATTAGGCCATATTTTTGGCATTGTAATGATTTCTTCCTTCATTTCTGCTGTAGAGTTTTGGAAGAAGGTTCCTCCAAATCAGCCATATCGGGTGATACTGAGTGATGTCAGGGATAAACTCTACAACACTCGTGAACAGTCACGAGAGCTTTTATCCAGTGGACATTCTGATATTCCTGAGGAAGCTACATTGACAACTGTTGAGCAGGTTGAGAATTAATCAGTAATCTTCAGAAAATAATATTGATTTTTTGTTTTTCCTCAGTGGGTTCTGATCTGTAGATGCCATCTTTTGCAGCTGCTGGAGCCCTTGGAACTATGTTACAGATCACTCTGTGCTTGTGGTGACCGTGTAATTGCTGATGGAAGCCTTCTGGATTTCTTGCATCAAGTCTCCACCTTTGGACTCTCCTTGTGAGGCTTGACATTAGGCAAGAATCAGATAGGCATACTGATGTACTTGATGCCATCACTACATACCTGGGGATAGGATCTTACCATGAAAGTGGCCAGAAGAACGCCGCCAAGAATGGATACTGTCTGAACTTAATGGCAAGCGCCCTTTGTTTGGCCCAGACCTTCCCAAGACTGAGGAGATTGCTGATGTTCTAGACACATTCCACGTTATCGCTGAGCTTCCTGCTGACAATTTTGGTGCTTATATCATTTCCATGGCAACAGCACCTTCGGATGTCCTTGCTGTTGAGCTCCTCCAACGTGAGTGTCATGTAAAGACACCACTTAGAGTAGTCCCACTGTTTGAGAAGTTGGCCGATCTTGAGTCTGCCCCGGCTGCATTGGCCAGACTGTTCTCAATAGATTGGTATAGACAGAGGATCAATGGCAAGCAGGAGGTCATGATTGGGTATTCAGACTCAGGCAAAGATGCGGGTCGCCTCTCAGCAGCTTGGCAGCTATACAAAGCTCAGGAGGAGCTCATCAAGGTTGCTAAGGACTTCGGTGTGAAGTTGACGATGTTCCATGGGCGTGGTGGGACTGTTGGAAGAGGTGGTGGTCCCACTCACCTTGCCATCTTGTCCCAGCCACCAGACACGATCCATGGATCACTCCGGGTCACTGTCCAAGGTGAAGTCATTGAGCAGTCTTTTGGTGAGGAGCACTTGTGCTTTAGGACACTGCAACGTTTCACGGCTGCTACCCTGGAGCATGGCATGCACCCACCAAATGCACCGAAGCCAGAATGGCGAGCCCTTCTTGATGAGATGGCAGTTGTGGCAACTGAGGAGTATCGGTCCATAGTCTTCAAAGAACCACGCTTCGTCGAGTATTTCCGCCTCGTGAGTCCTTGTTCTCATCCATTGTCATACTAAGTAACATAAGCTAAAAAAAAATAAACTTTTCAAATAGGTCTGATCTGATAGTTAATATGAATGTAGCACAATGATTTACTGCAGAAACTATATCTTTTTGCAAGCCTAACTAAAATGGTTACCGAAGCATTCGATTTGACCCTACATTTAGCGAATATTTACTTTGTGATGTTTGTGTTGACAGGCAACACCTGAAACAGAGTATGGTAGGATGAACATAGGAAGCAGGCCATCCAAGAGAAAGCTGAGCGGAGGTATCGAGTCACTCCGAGCAATCCCATGGATCTTTGCTTGGACACAAACACGGTTCCACCTCCCGGTCTGGCTAGGATTTGGGGCCGCATTCAAGCATGTCCTCCAGAAGGATATCAGGAACCTCCACATGCTCCAGGAAATGTACAATGAGTGGCCGTTTTTCAGGGTCACTATTGATCTGGTGGAGATGGTGTTCGCCAAGGGTAATCCTGGCATCGCCGCACTGTATGACAAACTCCTCGTTTCAGAGGAACTGCAGCCATTGGGTGAGAAGCTGAGGGCCAACTATGAAGAAACCCAAAAGCTTCTACTTCAGGTCTGTTGGCCAAAAGACACATTGTTACATTTCTTGCACTTTGTTCAACTACCATTCTAGTAGATAGCTTTTTACAATACAATGGACTCTGTTTCGGTCTTCTCTCAGGTTGCTGGGCACAGGGATCTCCTGGAAGGTGACCCTTACCTGAAGCAGCGGCTCCGCCTCCGTGACGCGTACATCACCACCCTGAACGTGTGCCAGGCCTACACCCTGAAGAGGATCCGTGACCCCGACTACCATGTCGCGCTGCGCCCCCACCTCTCCAAGGAGATCATGGACTCGACCAAGGCGGCTGCGGAGCTGGTGAAGCTGAACCCTGGCAGTGAGTACGCACCGGGGCTGGAGGACACCCTCATCCTGACCATGAAGGGCATAGCAGCCGGTCTCCAGAACACCGGTTAAAACACACACAGGGAAATTTTTTTTTCCTCTCCTGATCATTGGCTCCAGGTCCTTTGTATTTTTGCAGATTTTAGCTGCATCTTCGGCCGTCTCTCTACACCCGTGAGGAAATAATGGCGATTTTCGCCAAAGTGGTGGTAAATAAAAGGGAGATGAGGATCATACTTGTTTTTTCTTATTAGACTGTTGTGTTGTAACTTTACTATGCGAGAATGGAGCATGGCTGCAGCCTAATTAAAGTGCCGTATCTGTTTTTCTTCAAGCATTTTGCAGGCAGGCTCTGAATTGTGGGAATTGTACCCATGTTCCCTTTGCAATCTGTTGCCTGCAGCTTACCTATGGAGTCATCAGAAGTTGAGTTAGAACCGTATATATAATTATATATAGCACATAAATGGGTGAAATAACTGCACAGCACATTTCAGAATCAGGGCATCTTTTCATGTTTGGTGATAATACTAAACACAGTCGATATACATTGATCAGGGATTTCTGATCTTTTCCATGAGTGCGATAATTTTAGTTTGGGAAGATAAACGTTGGTGGTGTAACAAGTAACAACAAACAATAGAGATACTGTACCAATACAAATCGGTACAACGACCCCGGAACGTTGCTGCTCTTGCTGTTAGCAATCACACGGATCTTATACATAGTATAAGTCATTTTAATCTTTTTTTTTAAGTAAAAGCATCTCGAGTTTGACCAAAATTATGAAGAGAATTATAAAAATTTATGACAGCGAATAGGTATACTATGAAAATATAGCTAATAAAAAATCTAATGATACTTATTTGATATCACAAGTGTTATTATTTTATTATATAAATTTGGTCAAATTTAAAATACTTTGACTCCCAAAAAAAATTAAAATAACTAATAATTTGGGACTGAGGAAGTAAATTGGATGTCGTTTACAAGAAACTAGCTGAAGCTATACTTGCATCCAAACCAATCCAAGCATTTGTTCACCCATTTATCGTGTATAGCACTTGACATCTCGACATGGTAGCCGGCCGCGGCTGTTTTGATCCCGTTAAAATTAAAACTAGTATCGGAGTAAGTGGTTAAAACCTTTTATCTTAACATCTTTCAGTCCACCTGCCTCACCCATGTGATTAATAAAAAACATCAATAACCTTTACTTCTTTCGCAAAAAAAAATTAAAAAAAAAATCATAATCTGAAACATCTTCAACTAAAACACAGCACGAACTTCAATCTCATGTTCAAACTCTATTCCCATCCACACATTGACACACGGAGACGAGAAAAAGCCCTACCTCTCTTCCACGCCATGGGTCTAGCTAATAATGCCTAATCCAATTGAAGCAATGATACTCACGGGAACCAAGCGATCCATGTATATTCTAACGGTAAAGTTTACATCCGGGCGTCCGATCGACCGGATGCTCAGATTGGCGTGGGCCGTGACACTCTGAAACGGCCCAACAAATTTTCTCATGCACTCGTCTTCGTGTTTCTTTCGTTCATCTCCGCTTAGAAAAGTCGCTCTCCACTCGAAGCAGCGTCCACACCGTCGCAGCATGGTCCACTGCGACCGCCTCACAGGGACATTCTCCACCACGCCCGCTCGACCGGCGACCTCATCCTCCTTCTCCACCGCATCCGAGCGCCGACGATCACCTTCCTCCCTCTCCACCGTGCTCACCGACCGTCATGCTGTCATCGGCCGCCGTGTGTGGCTAGGCAGCCAGGAGAGGGGCCGTTGCTGGCCGGGCCCAAGCCAGGCGTATGCACAGTTGCCCGCTGCTAGGCCGTGCCACCATCCTCAGTCATTGGCTGGCCAGAACCAGTCGTTCCCTGCTCTGTTATGCGTCGTCCCAAGAAGAAGGGTGTAAAACGTATGTTGCAAGCGTATGTTTCATAGGTATGTTGCAAGGGTTTCATATGGATGTTGCAAAAGTAGATCGAGATGTTACATATGTTGCAATGGTTGTACACATATGTTGTAAACTTTTGTTCCCAATGTTTTTATCTGTTTTTCAGACGCATGTTGCAAGTGTGTTTTTTGGATGTTGCATATGTTTCATACATATATTGCAAGTGTTTTTTATCTGGATGTTGCATATGTTTGCAATGGTTTCAAGTGTTTTTGCAAGTGTTTCAGACGCATGTTTTCTAAGTGTTTCATCTATCTTCAGACATATGTTGCAAGTGTTGCATCTGGATGTTTCAAAAGTAGATGGGGTGTTGCACATGTTGCAATGCGCGTGGGAAACGAAGGGGACGTGAGCGGTCCCCGCGCGCGGTCTAGTGGTGCAGGTGGCGTTCGGGCGATGTGGGCCCCGCGTAGGCGCGTGAATTGCAGGCGGGGGCAGGGGCGTGCTGGCGCGAGCATGGGCGTGGAGTGCAGGCGCACGCCGGAAACATAGTGCAGTTTAGGCGTCCAGACACGTGCATCCGTCTAGACGTCCGGGCGCTAGCACTATCATATTCTAAACAGATGAATGTTATATTTAATAAGTAATATTAATCCTATCCTAAAAAAAAGTAATATTAATCCTTGTGTCCAAAAACCGTGATGTTTTGTGATTTTTAGGACATATTAACGACCATGTACCACTATTTATTAATGATAAATCATGCTAATTAAGGAATAAGGTCATTGTTAAAACGAGTGCATAGAAACATGCAGACCGTAATCTTAAGCTGATACGGCATTAATTTATTGTCCAAGAGTTAAAACATTAAGTTTTTTTTCTTTTTGACAATTTTAATTTTGAATGCTAAAACATCAAGTATTTAAAATAACAATTATAATGCACTGATTCCTAATAAAAAAGTATTTAGTAATACTGTACTTCAGCATATTTCGCTCATCAGAAGTTATTTTGCTCTCGTAATTTGTACCCTTCTGAAAACAAACGACAAACGAAAATAAATTCCTCACGTGTCCTGCATCTATAAAAACCGCAAATGTCAGGGACCAGGCTGCACACCCCAAACCAAGCAAGCAAATGACCATTCTTCTCTTTTCTCCACCAGCGCCGCCCCCCAATCTTTCGCTACCCCCGCCGTGATCCCAAGGACCACCGAACCCTAGTCTGAACCCCTTCATCTGTTCCTCATGGCCAACAGCAACCTCCCCCGCCGCATCATCAAGGTGAGGAGCCATATCGCCCCATCGAAACTTCGCTTTTCTTCCATCTTTGTTTTTTTAATGCAAACATGGTGATTTTTGGTGGTTTGCTTCGCGCAGGAGACGCAGCGGCTGCTCAGCGAGCCAGGTGAGATGTTCTAACATGACAAGATGTTTTGATGCTTCTTTTATTTTGATTCCTTTCACCCTAGTAGGATTCAGAGTTACAGTAAGCTGATTATCCCCAAAAGGCCTCTACCTTTTGTTTTTCATTTATTTTAGCTAAAGAGATGCTAGAATGTCTAATTTTATCATGCATACGGTTAACTGTGCCAAGACTGTTTCCCTATTATGTCATTGATTGTTATTTTTTTTGCGAGTTTCTTGGATGGTGTGTTGATGTTTCCAGGGTTGTTGGCTTGCTGTTTTGCAGCTCCAGGAATCAGTGCCTCGCCATCAGAGGAGAACATGCGCTACTTCAATGTCATGATCCTTGGACCGTCGCAGTCACCATATGAGGGTGAGGAATCTTTTCTTCTTGTTCTTCTGTTCTGTGTTTTAATTACCTCACACATCTAGTATATGATAAATGGCTTTGGAAATGGTAGATGGAATTTAGGTTATTGGAAATTTTACTCCATTCCATATCATTCAGAAACTACAAATATTAGTCAAATACCATTAAGTCTCATTATCTCATTTCAATAACATTGAAGAAGTTACACTAGAGAGGGTCTGGGCGTCCACGTACAACTTTATTGACCCCTAGGGCGCCGATAAGGCATGTTGTATCGAACTTTTTCTCTACCTTAATACAAAGACGCACAAACTTTTTGCGTTTTCGAGAAAAAAAAAACATTGAAGAAGTGTTATTAAGATTTTTTTCACTGCCTAATTTTTACTGTTGCCTCCATTTTTATTTGGCACTTCTGTAATCTGATGATTTTTGGGAACATAAAAGTTTTGGAAAGCTGTGCATGCCTCCACTGGTCTCCTTCTCTTCTCGGTTCTGTGGTTCTAGTCTCTTGCCTCATGGCACAAGGTGCCATTGCACTTGCACCTCCTTTCTATTTGCTTGCTCTATCAACACGAATGAGCACCTCTCCTTCATGGTTTCCCAACAATCATTCTCAGCTGGTGATCAGGGCTTCCAAGCCCTGCAGCTCAACCATGAAACCTCTTTATCAGCCAGTTTGTCCATGGTCTCCATGCCCCTGCTCCAAACCAGAGACATTTGTGGTTTCCATTTATCAATCTGTGGCATGGTCCTTCTTGGCAGTGGTTCTGGAACAGATTCACCAGAGGCCCATGCAGCCATGCTCCAGGTTTGACGGCAGTATTTATGCAGCTGGGTGCAGGTCAGCGAGAAACCAAGGGGTAGCAGTGCAGATGGAGTTGAGTGGCTTTGACTGGGCATGGAATGAAATGGCTATGGTTAATTGTGCAGAGCAGACAATGCAAGGACGATGTCTGGTGGTTTGGGTTGACTGGCTGATTGAAGAGGCATTGGTTAAATGGTTGATCAGGGGCCAACAACGAACACTCACATTGAGCAAATTGGCATCGCTAGGATTTTTATCTTTTAACTGTACATATTTGGAAAGTGTTTGCTATTAGTTTCTCTAATTAAGAACCAAATTATCCTTGCGAATCCTGGTGAACAAGTCATCCTTGCTAGCTTTCCTTGTGTCGTGCATGTCTCCTTCGTTTCCCTGGATATTCTGATATGTTTACTCTGTCTCATGTGACTATTTCCTGCCACTAATGCATCCTTGCTGCCCTGTTTAAAGAATGCAAAACAAAGCACTGGTTTTTGTCATTTTTGTGCGTTCTAATATGGTCTCTATCTAATAGCTTTGATTGGACTAATTGTCAGGAGGAGTTTTCAAGCTCGAGTTATTCTTGCCTGAAGATTATCCAATGGCTCCACCAAAGGTTTTTCGTTACTACTCTACTCTTGACTAGGATTTCAATGCTATACTTCTATGGTTCTACAAATTGCTAATAAGTACTAAATAGTTCTGCTGCTGATATTTGTCAAGTTAAATGTGGGCTGAGTTGTAGAGTGCATCAAATTCATAAAGGTTACATATGTATTGCTGCTCAATGAGATTTAGATTTCAAGTTCACATTTAATTCATGGAGATCATCGTAATGTAATTTTTTTTTTTTTTTTTTTTTTTTTTGTGAGCCCAGCCACTCAAAAGAATCTTACAAATTTCAGTGATTTCAGGACACTTGTATAACATCATTCGTTTTACTGACTTAGATTTGTTCTCTACTTCTTTCATATATGTATTTTATATCTTAGTTAGATCGTTGAGGATATAAGATAATTTATACACTTGTGGTTTCTGAAGTCCTGATTCATTACTGATAACAGGTTCGTTTTCTCACAAAAATTTATCACCCTAACATTGACAAGGTAAGTTACCCAGTGCTTCCACTTATGGTATTAGGTAATACTATACTGCTTAATACTCACACTCATACAGCTTGGTAGGATATGCCTTGATATTTTGAAGGACAAGTGGAGTCCTGCCCTTCAGATTCGAACAGTTTTATTGAGGTCGGTATTTCTGTTTCACTGTTTTTCTATGTTGATTTCAGTCTGATTCATTTGGTGTTTGTTTGCAAAGAGGTCATACTGATTTTTGAAAGTACAAACTGTGTAACAGTTCCACTAAACAAGCTATATGATTCCTGGAAGGGCTTTCTGATGCCCATGGCCATTATAAGTTTACAGCATTAGGAAACACTACATAGTGGCAAATGTGCAACTTCAGGGCTTGTCTGCACTTAGTCGTCGGCCACTAAAAGGCAGGAATGTGATATAAGATGCACTAATTAACCAAGCCTTATACTGCTTGCATTCATAAAGTGGACAGTGTGCACATTGGCATTCATAAAGTGGATGGTGTGCACATTGTACAGTGGAGGAGGCTGCACTTGTTGCCACTTGGCACTGCTGTATATTATTTGTCAGATCCACTGTTTTTTTTTGAAAAGCACCACCTTGGGCGCGGCCTTCCTGGAGGCCAGCGTGGGGAGCCGGGGTTCGAACCCCAGACCGGCAGCTCCACCCTTGGAGACTTTGCCAGCTGCTCTAGGCACTCTTCCCGATCCACTGTTAGAATGGGGGAAACCTTTTACATGTTAGCAAATCAACCTATGACCACGAGTAGGGATCCACACAGCGCATGTGTCTGAGAGCTGCCAATGTTTACACTTTTACTGGAACTTTTTCTCCAGTCACAATCCGTTCTCATATGATATCTCAAAACCATAACACAAGTAGGGATATGCCTGCTTCACAGCCTTCACCTTCAGAGCTGCTGGTGTTTATGTTTAGCTTGAAATTTTTTTTTTGCCAAAACAAGATCAGAGAGAACAATTAACTGGACTTGGGTAACTTAATCTTAGCTGACCAGCGCATTTCTTTTGCACTTGATGTTTCTGGTCTTAAGCATCCAGGCATTGCTTAGTGCTCCAAACCCTGATGACCCGCTTGCCGACAATGTGGCGAAGCACTGGAAGGCTAATGAAGCTGAAGCTGTAGAAACAGGTGAGGGAATAACCAATCTTGTTCAGGTTTTAGCTACATAATCTGGATGAACTTTTTAGCTCATGGCATTCTTGAATGACACAGCCAAAGAGTGGACCCATGTATATGCAAGCGGAGCTTGATCTTTGCATAATGCATGCTTGCCTGGTAAGAAATTTCGTTCGGTGGAGCTGCGGAGGTGAACTTGACCGACGATTGGTTGGTGAAATTGGAAATTGAAAGGATTGAGGAGTGAACTGTGGATTTCCAAATATCCTTTGATGATGTGTGTCAAGAGTCTGATGTACATTACTCTAGTTGAGCTGTGATGATGAACCCTCATACATGTAAATTGTTTCTTTGGTACATCTGGTTCCTGAGAGACATCAGACATATATGATAATAAATATCCTGGAATGATGTATGCCTGCCCGTATTTTTTGAATTACCTTCTGCATATTTTTTAACATCTATAAATCTAAGGAAATTATATTTAATATGATATGCAACATTGTGGACTCCTAACTGATCGTTCTTGTCGCTGGAAACTTAGAACAAATTTAGCTTTCCGGAAAAATGGATTTGTTTCTTTTTGGAATTTATTTGTTTGCCAAAACAATTAGAAACTCATGGCTTTCTGTGCCTCTTAGTGCTGTAAAATCAGCAACAAGTTTGTGGATGTCTTCGATCCATGCCCGTGCAGCACGGTAGAAAGCCATATCTAATCCATCTAAGGATAGAATGGAATTTGTAAATTCATTAGTAATAGTAGCCTCACTGACGAAGTGGAGCTAATCATGCATTGGTCTATCTATAGATAAAGATGAAGAGAGGAAGTGAAGAGCTTTGAAAAATAATCTATGAACATATGTCTATTCCTGAGGATTAGATAGACTGTTGGCTGTCTGGAATCCTATTTTGTTTGCATCCTCCGTGTCCCATTTTAATAATCTAGGTTACAATGCATGAGAGGATTGTGTCCCCCAATAGTGATGAGAAGGCGACCAAGGACTTAGGATTAAAGGTGAACGATCTTTCAAGAGCCAAGTATCATCAAAGGGGACTTTTGTGTGTTTTTAGCTCGACCAAGTGTTCCACGAGTGTAGAGCTGCCATCTTTGTGAACAAATGGTCCAAGCTACTTCATGCAGCAAGTTTGACTCAAATACGATGAAGGGTTGAGAAGATAGAGTTAAAACATTTTTGATGCACGTGCAGATTGTCCGCAGGTGACGAAAATGAACTGGTGTTCATGTCCGGCCAGGGCTTTCAGTTGATGGTTTAAATGTAGGTGGACGGTCCGGCAAGGTGGACAAGATGGCGCTGACAATTGGGCTGCCGTCTGTTGGGAACGCCCTTTAGGCAACACCTCACCCTCGCCTTGTCCTGGGCAGGACCCTCGCCTGCTTCTGGCCCCACAACACCCCCAGCCGCAAGTGTGCCTCGCCTAGGGCTTGAGCACCAGCATCGCCCTAGTGGGCGCGGGTATCGGGACACCTTCATCGACTTGCCCCGGCATTGCCTGGCGGCTGGCGTACGTCCCCGACAGGCGATACTTTGACGCTCTGTTTCTGCAGGACTGAGTACACCCCGCGAGGCCTGGCCGACTGGGGAGAACCCTCGTGACGTTTGTTCAAATTGCTGTTTGAAGTAAGATGGAGAATCTTGGTCCCCTCAAGCGGAGCTCCCGACATCGTTAGGAGAGTGGTTGGGGGCGAGGGGCCAAATGACCATAGTGTCCCCGCGTCAATGTTAGAAGTCTCCCGGCCAGTTTGGGGGCAACTGTCATTTCCTCTTGTCCTTAAGTATAGCTTATAAATACTCGGGAGATATACTGTAGATGATGAATTAATAACCAATTACTTTTGAATTAATTGTTGTCCCCGTTCCGCTTTGCGTAGCTTAACCCTTGCTCCCCCTTTACCTATGGGACACCCTTGGCCTCCTCCGCGCTAGTCCTTAGAGCGAGGGTAGGAGGCAAAGCGAAGCCCCCAGTTGGCGCCCACTGTGGGGACCCCATCGTACCACCTACCAAACTGAACATGGCCGCAAACCCATAATCAGGGACCCTCCCCCTGCTGATGCTAACGCCAATTTAACCTCAGCTGCTAGAGCTCAGGCCAACCAGACCGCACCACCTCTACCTGGAGCAGCGCCGATGCCAGGAGGGGAGGACACGGATGCGGATGTCCCAAACACGTCCGTCATCGCTGCAGGACCTCCACTCAACGATGGATGACCACGAATGACCCGAAGGCATAGACGACCAAGAATGAGGGCGGCGTGACAGAGTTGAAGAGCAAGGCCTCGCCACCCTTGATCAAATGTATGAAGAGATCAACCTGAAAAAGTGTTGGGTCGAGGCCCTGGAAAGGCGGGCCTGAGTTTAGACAATCTGACAGAAAGTGGTCAAAGCCCAAGAAGAGATGAGAAGGATGGATGAGTATCTCACCCGTTTTGAGGGTACTTGGGAACCCATCATCATCCCTGATCCCCAAATCAACCCACCACTACCCCCCCGCCGCCACAACCATACCCTCGCCTACACCAATTCTTTGCACCCGCCAACCCCCCGTCAAACCAGAGGAATCAACCTCACCAATGTCATACGACCCAAAGTCTCTGTTATCCTAGATACTCCAGGCCTAGAGGCGGCCACCCGCCTACAACCCTCAGAACCTCCCAAGGTATGATGGGAATGTCAATCCTCGTCAATTCATAATGAGTGATGAGGCAGCCGTTGCGGCAGTAGGCTGCGACAAGGCCACAATGGCCAAGTCATTTGTCATCATAGCTGGAGATATAGCATAGAGTTGGTACGCCAACCTCCAACCTGGCTGGATCCTGTCCTGGGGAGACCTCCACGAACTTCAAAGGTGTCAACATAGCCTCCAATCACCCAATGGACATGTTCAACTGCAAACAGGGAGAAAGGGAACCCTTGCAGGGCTACTGGCGAAGGTTCATTTCGCTGAGGGATTGCACTCCAAACATAACTGACAAGGCTGTCATCCTCGCAGCAGTAACACTACTACAGATTGATTTATCACTGTCGCCACTTTCACTGCCGTAGTGATAGAAGCGACGATGTGATACCTCCACCGTCGGTTGACCGATAGTGAGGCCTCCTAAGGGAGGAAACCGGTAGTTGAAACTGCTATCACCGACGGGTTAACGGTAGATGCGGTAGTGGTATTGGAGTTGCATTTCCTCCGTCGCATGAAAAGCCGGTCCGACTGGGATACACGTTTTGGCCGGCGGTCCAAAACCAGCGTTTGGTCAACCGGTGGTATAAATTTAGCGTGACTGTTGAATGCACTCAACTTCTAAGGCCGTCAAATCACCATTACTTCCGTCGCCTGAAGCCAAAGAGTCATACCCACTGCTCTACATATTCTTCAAGCCCGGTGCCCTCTGAAACCAACCCTCTTCTTCATCCATCATCCCCTTCTCTTTCAATCTGCAAAGAAAATGTTGGACAGCCCCATCAAGTTTCCAAGCAGTCTGTCGTCCAGCGAGGATGACTTGCCAGCCCACCAGTCCTCCGAGGAGGATGTCTCCTCCGACAATTGGAGGTCTTCTGATTATAGTATTCCGTAGAGCTCCGAGAAGGAGGACCCAAACGAGGACAACGAGGACAAGGACGACAAAGACGACTCCGACGACTCTGACTCCGACTCTGACTTCGCCGCGCCTTGCCTCCTCCCAAGCGAGCGAGGTGATCATATGTTTAGATTAAAGTAGTTTATAGTTAGTATAAGTAGTTTTAATAGTTTAGGTTAGTTATTATGCTTCTGGACGAATACAATCATATACTCATCCAAATTGTATCTATATGTTACATATATATAATGAATCAATGAAAAAAATTCTATTTGCGCAGATTTGATCTCTTCAATGCCACTTTTTTTTATATGAAATGCAAAGCAAGTTCTTTCCAATACTACTTCCAAAATATATAATGAATCAATGAAAAAAATTCCATTCACGCAGATTTGATCTCTTCAATGCCACCTTTTTTATATGAAATGAAAAACAAGTTATTTCCAATACTACTTCCAAAATGCCAGTGCACGGATTTGATCTTTCGACGAATGTTTTTTTGTATTTATGTATATTTGTGAATGAAAAGGGAAAACAGTCATGTACGGTTGCTGTTGTTTCCAGGAGAATCTAAAAGCAATTTAACCGCTGACAATCGCCGTATTATAGCGTTGGATTAGCGTGGTAATGATCAGCTTAATACAGACACTGTTTAACTTATCTCGTGCCATCCGTTCTCGTTGCCGGTCAATCTGGACCGTTCGTTTGGCAACAAACCTAGAAGCGCCCGGCCCGTTCCCAAGTCCCCTCGGATCCTGTCAGCGCCTTGGTGGTGGTTCGACCAACTAAAAACCCCTAATATGAAACCATTAGTTCTCCCCACCCGTTGTTGCTTCATCTTCATTCTCCCCACCCGTTGCTTCATCTTCATTTTGACCTATCACCTGTACTTGCCCTACCTCGAGCACCTTGCATTGTCGTTGTGGACCATGCCCTGTGAAGGTTAGATGGATTCGGTCACCCCCGCTGCTTGCATTTGGTTCCAATTGGTTTAGGGTTCGGTATCAATTTTGTTCATATTATGAATTTCTTCATTGCAACAAATGTCTTACTTCGGAAGAAGCCATTTCAATGCGAGCAACCTTGCGTTTTGGCGGCTAGGGGTGGCACCAGGACCCCGGATGATGTTGTTTGCTACTTGGGGATGGAGCATTCACCCGGACCGACTGTTGATTGTTGAAGCCGCTGTTCATCACCTTTTCGGACCATAAAATTTGACAAGAATCGTTCAAGACCCTGTTTGTGGAGAGATTTTTGTGCTTTGTAGGACTGGACAGGAAGTAGACATACTTTATAGATACAATGTGTCCGTGGACGGAGATGCTGGCATCTTCGCTACGGTTCACTACCTCTGGCTTTCGAGACCGCATCAACCAATTGAGTACCTTAGCAACCACTTTTGTGTCGTGTCGAGAACCACTCCTACGCATACCAGCCACCACTTTTGTGTCGTTGTGGCTCGAAGACGCCTCGGTGGATTTTGTGGAGTGATGGAAACCCAGGACGTCGGTACCACATATGCTGCAGGGCAAATAATGTAACTCGATTTCTTTCTTGTTCATTCTATTTTCGCAATACAAATGCTGAAATCCCGCTGTACTTATGGCAATTTGGTTTTTTCGTAGCCCGACTTAGATTGCAGGTTCTTTAAGTGGCACGATCCCCCATATGGAAAATTTCTAAGGACTTTGATTTTGGATTTACATAACAAGATTTGGGAGCCAAAGGCAGAGGCCAATGTTACAACAAATGAAGAACATCTACAGGAGGAGGAAGAGATTATGCCATAAATTGAAGAAATGGCTAGGGTTCCAACTAAGATGATGGAAGATTTCGTACCTTTGAGAAAGAAATGTGCTTCCTGTTCTTCTTTCACCTATTTTGTACTTACCTTAGTTCTTGGCATATTCATTGGCAAGTTGTTTAGTTCACCGCAGTAGATTCAAGTTCCAATTTATGATGTATCGGACTGAAATCTATCACTTTTGTACAACTATTGTTAAACTAAATGCAAGGTGATTAACCAGGTGTTTAATTTATTGAACTATAAATGATAGTAGATCCAAGTATCAATTGATGTGTTGGAGGCATCCTACTTCCCTAGACACTGGGCTCTAGTACAGGGGCAACCAATTTATTGAACTATATATACACTCGTACGGTCGTACCACACCTTCCTCCCATCCATTCCCCACTCTGCTTCACCCTGCTAGCGTCGAACGAAAGGCAGCCTCTCACGTGCTCACTGCTCCTTCACCTCCAACCTCGCCGGTGCACAAATCTTCAACGCTCCATCCCTACTTCTCTGCTCCATCCGGATCTAAGGTAACTACACTGGATCTGCTCCTCCTTCACCGGATTCTATATTCCTTTGTATTGCTCTCTCGTGCTCTTTGCTCCTTCACCTCCAACCTAGCTATAGTAATTTTGTTGGATTTGCAAATGAAAATGCATCTTCTCATTCTGGAGTTTGTGGCCTTGTATATCCGTGGAGTGTAGCTTGTGAGCCTTATTGTCCTTAGTATTGGTTCACCGAATCAGTGCTTTGTGAACAAAGTCGATGAGCTAAATGAAACTGTACCAATGGATGTGGACAGGGTTGTAGTGGTCAAGGCTCGGGATGACATGGAGATTGACAATGATCCTGTGGAGGCCGACAATGATCTGTAGGATATTATGGAGATTCACAACGATCCCATGGAGGTTGACTAGGATCTACATGGAGAATGATTAATTATGCAACTAATGATGTACATATG